CCTTTTTGTCACTTATAAAAAAACAAACAAAAGCAATATAAATAGTATAGATAATAAGCCAAAAGCTATGCAGTCTCGCTGCTGTAACTGAAGGAAAGAGGTGATGCCATGAGAAAGGCATCAGAGGATCAGAAGATGTCCGTGGCCTAAGGAATCAGTGCCCTCAACTTGCTGTCTGGATCCAGGTCACTTACTTGTCTGTGATCATGCACTAGGTCTATTAAGTCTGGTGTACACTTGCTTTCAAAGCTTTAAAGGTTTTTTTTAAAGTTGTTTGCTTTTTTAAGAATAAGAGTTACTGTATCTCTTGATTTATGAGGGTTTTGTAAAGTATAGGAGAAAAACCTCTCCAAATCATTTTGCTTTTGCCCATATGCTCACTGAAGGCATTGAGCAAAGCTGCTCTCAACAGTACACTGATAATGCATTTATTACCTGATAATGGTGAAAAATTTCAGCCATAACTTTTCTCCTGCTATAAGAGAACATTGTATTGGTTCAATAAAAAACAAGTTAAACTTTCTAAAACCATGTCCCTACTTCTCATTAAGACAGAAATACTCTTGTTGGCATAAAAAAGCTAACCTTGTCCCACTAAAGTTGTGGAAGATATGGGATGTTTGTTTGTTTTGAAATGCAGAGAATCTTCTAGTAAGTATCAGGCATATCTGAGTGGCCTAGAAAGGAGAAGAGGAGGGAGACTGATGCAAGAGTCTAATGCTGAGTGTTGAATTCCATGGTGACTGCACAGAGTGACAGAGGGAAGGTCATGTTCAAGGCTGCAGAAATCTGGTCCCTGCTATACAGCATAGACTAAAGCTGACCTAAGGCTGGGATTTGAAAAGGTATGTAGGAAGCTCAGTCTCCAGGCTGGACAGTTAGAGAAGACAAGGCATTGCTCCAGAGAGCCCCAGGCTGAGCTAGAGTGAAATACAGAGAGCAATGCTTCCCAAGCTTCCCCACAGGATCACTAGCAGCCCCAAGTGGCTAGGCCTGAAGGGGAACCAGGTGCTACAATCCAGGCACTGACTTCCTGAGGGACCGCTGGAGCTGGGGACTGGAGGAAGCACAAAGCCAGGTGAACAGTCCAACCCAGAAGCCTTGAAATACCCTGCCCATACCAGGATATGCAGTGCCATCCCTGGCTGGTCCTAGCAGGTTAGCACAAATAGAGAGGACTAACAGCCTGCCCAGGGTGAGTGTGGAGCTCAAATATCCTACCAGATCTTCCCTGCAACTCCCTACCCATCCTGAAGCCACACTCTAACACGGATGTCAGGCACCCTCTCTAACTAGTAGCTCCCCCTCAGCTGAAAAGTAAGGTGAGATAAAACAGTAAAAAAGAGAAAAATCAAAGATAAGGCTACACTGCCTAAGACTTTCCCGCCAGGGCCTCCCGAGGCAGTCGAGGTTGCCCTGGGCAGTTCTGCTCTTCCCCGAGGGAATCCTGTAACGCCCAGAAGGCAGCTGAGTGGATCAGGTCGGCCAAGCCCGTGCCTATGGGCCTCAGGGATGAGGTGCTGAGTGCGCAGGCTAATTATACATGTGGCATTTGGGCAGCCGACTGTCCAGTGACACCTTACCTTATGAGGAAACGTCAACCCCAGCAACTGTGCAAAACAAAATGCCATCGCAGGATCAGCTTCGTTGGCTCTTGGCGGGTTCAGGGTTGCTTTTCCCACTGCCTCTCGCACTTAGCACAAAAATGTAGCCACTAGCAGGCAGGCCGGCCAGGAAGGGGGGCACAGGCGGGGCGGGCTTGCCAGGTGTTAGCCTTGTTCTGTCCCGTGTGTACCGTCCCCACCCCCAGGATCGCGCGGCCCCCCCCAGCCCCGCAAGCCTTGGACCCGACCACTTGACCTTTTTATTCACCAAACCCACCTCGTGGAAATATACTGGGCAGGGCTGTGTCTGTTTTTCTCCGGACCTGAGGGAAATCTGGGCATGTGACCATAAAGGGCAGGGGAGAGGAGACCCTGGTGGGAGGGGTAAACGGGCACTCTCTTTTCCCTACTCCCCTGGGCTGTTAGCTGGGCCTTCTTGCTTGGGCCAAAAGCCCAGCCCCAGAAGTGCGAGCAAGAGAAAAGCGCCTGGGGCAGGGACGTCACCCGAGAGCCTCACTGACAATGCTGTGCGAGGTCCAGAATCCAGCCCAGTTTGCCGCTGGGACGGCTTCGGGCCATCTACAGACCGAAACTTCAGGCGCGGCCCTCAGAGGAGGTCACACGCGGGAGAAGCAGCCCGGGACAACCCATCTTACCAACAGCCCAGCCCCACTAGTCAGTCCAGCCGAAGAAGGCTTATTTTTAGTCCTCATACAAGAAAGGCACTCACTATCTGACAATTCATACAAAATAAGCCTTTTCGAACTTCGTCAGCGTAAAACAGCTTAAATAAAACTTAAAACACACCGCTAACAACCACCTTTTATCTGCTCGGTACACACCAATTCTATCTCAAAGCTACTCGAAGCGCTGGGAACTGCCCGGCACAGAGCTAATCTGTCTTCCGCAGCCCTGGCCCGCTCCTCCTGGTACCCGAGCACAGCCCTGGCAGCCTCCGCACGGGCCCTTTCCTCCTCCGCCCGGCCCTTTAAGGAGAAACCAGAAAGCAGCTCCCCCGGGAGCGGCGAGGTCCGGGGCCCGGCGAGTGGCAGCACCGCCCCCGGCGCTGGACCGAGCGGGAGCAGCGGACGTCGGCCCTGGCTGCCGACAAGGCGGCAAGCAGCGGGGCCCGGGCGGGGAGCCGAGAAGGACGGAGGGCGCGGGCAGGGCTGCAGGGACACTGGGCTAGGGGAGGACGTGCAGACGGCCGTGCGCCTCGAGAACGGCGGGGGAGGCCGAATCCGCGCCGGGCCGGACCCACCGGCCCCTCTCCCACGCCCCCGTCTGACTAGGCGACACTGCCTGAGCGTCCAGGGCAAAGAGGAAAACAGATTAGCTCTTGGGTTTCGGATTGTTTTGGAGTACGGTTTGTTTATTCCTAGAAATGATCATAAAAAGTAGTGTCCGGTAATGGGGCGGGGGCGGTAAGCCGGGAAACAGGAGGCAACTTGCGCGCGATCCCCGGAAAGTTGCGGCGGGGCAGAGGTGGGCTGAGGGTGAGAGCTGGGGGCGCAGGGAGTTTTCTAGCGACCCGGGTTTTCTTTATCAACTCCTCCGAGTAAAACTTCACCCCGACATCGAGAGCGACTGACTCCTCGACTACTGCCCGCCCTCTGCCAGGGTCAACCCCACAAATAACCAAAGTTTCCAAACCAAAATGGGGGGGCGGGGGTAGCGCTAAGAAGCCCAGAAGCTCAGCGGATCCTCCTGACCTCCCGCATCCCAGCCTGGCTGACACTAAAGCATTCCAAAAACTGCCGCATCGCAGTCCCATGGCGAATCAACCCAACACTTTTCAAGAAAACAAAATATTTGCTAGGAAACTTACTTTGCATTTAGTCTCTATTCTTTGGGGGGATGCGGTTTACATCGACTCGTAAATGAAGCCCGTTTTGTCCAGGTTGGATATTGTCTACTTATGGATCAGCCCCTGGGTGAGGGTTTATTTTAATTTATGGCTTATGCATTCTTTTAAGGTCGATTTACATGACCTCCGGCTACAACTAAGACAGCCGAGGAGGGCACTCCAGTCGTCAGTCGGCCAAACCCACAATTAAAACAGCCCTCCCCCTAGTCTCGGTGTGACTAGGACTCTCCTGGAGTAGGCTGGCTCTTTTCTGTCCCTTCTTTCTTCGCTTTCTTTCTTTTTTCCACCTTTTATGTCTTTTTCTTGTTACTACCATGAAATAAGATGTGATATCACTTTGAAAGTTTCAGTATAAGTTTCTCTAAATCCAAGCAAGCTTGCGGCGATAACGAGACACACTGCGCGCACAAAGCCCTCGGGATGTTGCCCTCTTGTGGGCAAAAAAGGCACTGCCACCCGGGCGTTCCATCTGAACCCTCAGAGCGTACACAAACTTGAGATAGCGAGACAGAGACAGAGTCACAGTGAAACAGAGACAGAGACAGAGACAGA